CTCAAATTTGTAAATCATATTTTGACTCTTCTTTACGCTTATCTGTGTTTTCCAGTTACTCTGTAGAAAATATGCTATTTTTGAAGTAAAAGTTCTTGTTTTCCAATGAAAATGAACTCACAGGCACAAAAGCAATGGCCCAGCAAGGCTGAAGAGGAAAGGCCTGTGTGGCCACGTGGAGGGGTGGCCGCAGAGACACAACAGGAAGCGTGTGGAGGAGCAGCGTAGACGGACGCTGACTACAGTCCAGGAAGAGAGCAGGGCATGCCCCACAGAACCAGAGGCCTTGGGGTTCACAGACACCCTCTATGGCAAACATGCCTCCATTATGAGTTATTGTTCCAAACACCTCAGAATCAGATATGTAAAGGAATGAACTGACCGACAGAAATAGGAGAAGACATTGTTTAAAGTAACCTGAACTGTAAGTTTTACCATGTAAGGTTAACACAGACTTGTAATCCCCTTAATTCTCCCAAAAGAAAGGGCCTGAATTACAGCTGTCCAGTCCTCTTTTCCAGGTGGACTCTGAGCTGAAGGTGTGAGTTTACTTTCAGGTACCTGCTGGGGCAAGACCTCACCTGGCACGTTGTGAATGGTGATGGCCAAGATGAGCAGAGCGATTCTCCTCCAGCTGCTGCCTCCAGGATGCGTAGGGCCCCCTCGAGAGGGCATGAGGGGAGCAGGGTCCCCATGGAGGCCAGCCGTCCTCCGCCTCTGATATGCCTCGCCGTTCTCACTCTTGTCTGCAAAAAGAGATAGGTGGTCACTGTGATTGTCACAACTGTAAAGGGGGAAGTTATGTAGCAAAAAGGGGGGAGTAGTTAATCTAACATTCCAGGAACAGAGGACCCTAGGACCATCCAGGGAGAAGAGCATGAACTGAATGTGGGACCCTATCCAGAGAAGCAGCTGTACCAGAGATGAGGACATGGAGAGAGAGAGCAGCTGAGGACTCTAGACTCATGGAAAGAGAAAGGCTGTGTGCTGGCAACCTGGAGGCACTCCTGCAGAATGTGCCCTTTGGTTGTTTAAATGATTAGATATTCCTGAGTGTTTTCGTGTACACCACCCACCACCCACGCCACCCCCCTGCAAAAAAAAAAAAAATCACAAAAAAACAGAGAGAATAGAAGCGAATACTGTTGAATGGTGATGTACAGAGATGGAAATCATTGCAATGAAATGATGAATGTAAAACTGATGTTCTGCCGTGTAAACGATCACTCAGTTCACAATAAACACTTAAAAAGAGAGAGAGAGATGGAAAAGAGAGCACTTTCAAAACGAGCATCCTGGTTTCTGTGGCTCACCACCAACAAGAGGAAGCTTTCAAGACCGAGACACGTTCTTCTTCTAAACATCATATAGAGCCTGCATTCTTTTGTCTGTCTGTTCATTTATTCCACAAACATCCACCAAATAGAAGTCAGTGTCCCATGTTGTTGTTGTTGTTATGTGCCGTGAAGTTGGTTCCGACTCATAGCGACTCTGTACAGGGTTTCCGAGGCTGTAAATCTTTAAGGGAGCAGAAAGCCTCATCTTTCTCCCGCGGAACAGCTGGTAGTTTCGAACTGCTGACCTTGCAGTTCACAGCCCAATTCGTAACCACTTCGCTACCAGAGCTTCTTCAGTGTCCCATGCACATGGTTAAAAGGTGAATAGTAAAGAAAGATGAGTACATGGTGCCCTTGTAATGCCCTGTAGAAGACGCTCACACTTGGTAAACTGGGAGGTCAGTAAAAAGACAAGAAGACCCTCGTTGAGACGGACTGGTACAGAGGCTGTAACAGTGAGCCTGCACATAGCAACAATTGTGAAGATAACACAGAACCGGAACCAACTCAGTGATCTCTAACAACGGCGATGCCCATTTCCAACAAGCAATACTGAGTGCTACCTGGGAGCGAAGACTGGAATCTACCTGTCTAGTCCACTTCCTGATTCAACCACTTACTCTTCCTGCGGTGCTCAATCAAAAAGCTGAAAGATGAGCCCCTAGATTCCAAGGGACTAAAAGCAGCGGCTGAAACAAGAAACAGGTTACCTACCGATGGGGAAATGGCGCAGAAAGGGGCAGTGTTTCATTCTCTTGTACGTGGAATCGCCATGAGTAGGAACCGAGTTAACAGCAACTAAAAGCAAACCAAGAACAGTGCTAAACAAATTGTTAAACTCTCAGTATCCTGATTTATAAAAATGGGATCCTTTTAGCACCTAAGTCACAGGCGTTTTGTGAGGATTCAAAGGCAGAAGCTGTGTAAAGGATGTAGCTCTTGGTTGCTGCTGTGAGGATCCCTATTTGTTCTCTGTTTCATAGTTGTATAGAGTTAGCATGATATACAACCGACCGCCCTCTCCTGGTCACACTGATTCATGCAAGACCAACTCAGATTCCAGGTTCAGCCATTCAGATTCTCCACCCAGGGATGCGGGGCTAAAAGGGTGGCACAAGTGGTTCTGAAAGGCCACACCATTTAAGGGCAGCCAATACCAAAAAAGAACCAATGCTTTGAAATTACGGTGTTGGTGAAGAATACTGTATACATCACTGGACTGCCAGAAGAACGAACAAATCCGTTTTGGAAGAAGTGCAGCCAGAATGCTTCTTACAAACCAGAATGGTAAAACATTCGTCTCATATAGTCCCTGGAGAAGGTCATCACGGTTGGTAAAGTAGAGGGTCAGTGAGAAAGAGGAAGATCCCCCGCAAGATAGAGTGATACAGTGACTTCAACAATGGCCCAAACATAGCAACAAATATGAGAATGGTGCACAACCAAGCTATGTTTTGTTCTGTTATACGCGGGGTTGCTATGAGTTGGAACTGATTCCACAGAACCTAACAACAAGATGTACTCTGAAATAAGGGGATGAGGGAAGCAGCTTGGCAGACAGAGAAACGGAAGCAGATGGGCATAGACAAGGACAGATGGGAAACTACGTGGCCAGAAACATACAGCAAATGGCAACCGAGGTACCGCAGGACTTTCTAGCCTATGATAAGCAGATTACATGGCTGCCCTTATGCAAGATGTTGTTGTTGTTGTTGTTAAGTGCTGTCGAGTTGGTTCTGACTCACAGTGACCCAGTGTGGGGATTCTGAGGAGTGACTGGTGAGTCTGAACCAAAGAACTTGTGGTTTAAACCAACCTTGTGGTCCTGTGCTTATCCTACAATGCCACACAAGGACTCTAGTCCTCCCGTTACAAATGCCTTTTTGCGTTTACACTTTAGGAATGTTGTTTCTTATGGATGGAGCCCTGGTGGCACAGTGGTTAAAATGCTTGTCTTTTAGAAGGTCAGAAGTCCAAACCCACTAGCATTTCCTAGTAGGAGAAAGCTGTGACGGTCTATATTCATAAAGATGGCAGCCTGAGAAACCCCACGGGGCAGTGGGACTCTGTCCTGGAGAGTCGCTCCGAGTCAGAATTGAGCTGATGACAAGAGGTTTCTTATATTCAGATTGTGTGAGACCCATGGCCTGCTCAGGTTATCTGCTCAGTGAAGCAAAGAGGCTGGATTTGACATGCAGAAGGGTGAGAGTGAGGTAGAGCCTCCAGTCTGCACATGGATTTGGGGGACAGACTTCTAGAAGTGAGGGTCTTGAGCAGAACTTAAACATGATTGTCCAAATAGAAAGAGGGGTCTCCCTACTGTGAGGGACTATAAGACCCTGGGAAGCACCACTCAGATTGCATGGATGGGTCACCCAGAACTTGTCTTTAGGACTCCATTGTGAGCAGGACACCCTCATATTCCAGCTTTGTTCCCCCCACCCCCGAGGAATTACAGGCTTCTGTAAAGATGTAAACCCTGTGAGGCTCAGGTGTACCCTGTGCCATGTGGGGTCGCCTTGAGGAAACAACAGGTTTCTTTGAGTTTTGTTTATTCACAGTCAAATCTATCCCGGTTGGCATGATGGGTTAGGTGCCCTCTTGGCTGTGCTCTCTGGTAGCATAGTGGTTACGAATTGAGCTGCTAACCTCAAGGTCAGCAGTGAAACTACCAGCTGTTCCATGGGAGAAAGATGAGGTTTTCTGCTCCCGTAAAGATTTGTTGTTGTTGTTAAGTGCCATCAAGTCGATTCCAACCCATAGCGACCCTGTATAGGGTTTCCAAGGAGCAGCTGGTGAGCTTGAACCACTGACCTTGTAGTTCAAACGACTTTGCAGTCTGACCCATTCGCCCACAGTGCCACCCCATAAAGATTTATAGCCTCAGAAACCCTGTGCAGGGTCACTATGAGTCGGAACCGACTCCACGGTACACGACCACCACCACCACTTGGTTTGGGGACCAAAAGACACACTCCTACCTCACTAAAATTTTTAAGTACTGGACTACTAACTGCAGGAGAAAGATGAGACTTTCTGCTCCCGTAAAGATTTATAGCCTCAGAAACCTTATATAGTGTCTCTTTGGTGGAGTCCTGGTGTGGCGCCGTGGGTTAATGTGCTGGACTGCAAAGTCGGTTTGAACTACAAGGTCGGTGGTTCAAGCTCACCGGCTGCTCCTTGAAAACCCTATACTGGGTTGCTATGGGTCAGACAGACTCGTCAGCACTTAACAACATGGTGCTATGGGTTAATGTGCTGGCCTGCAAAGTCAGTTTGAACCTCAAGGATGGTGGTTCAAGCTCACAAGCTGCTCCTGGGAAACCCTGCACAGGGTCACTATGGGTTGGAACCGACTGGGGAGCAGTTAACAGCAATAACAAGGAGCTCTGATAACGTTGTGGCTATGAATCAGGCTGCTGACCTCGGGTCAGCAGTTTGAAACTACCAGCTGTTTTGCCGAAGAAAAATGAGGCTTTCTGCTCCCATAAAGATTTACAACCTCAGAAACCCTGTGCAGGGTCGCTGTGACTCAGAACCGACTCCACGGCACAGAACCACCCCCATCATATAAGGAATCAACGCAATGGCAATGGATTTCCTGAATGGTAAGAAGATACTTGCACTTCTCAGCTCCACTGACAAAATGTCCACAAGTCGAAAACTCGCATCTCTACACTGAGAGTTGAAGGAATGTTTCCCCAAAGTCAAATGAAGGAACAAATGGCCACGTTAGGGGTTACTGAGTCCCTTCGTGGTGCAAATGGTTAATGTGCTCGGAGGACCAAGTCTGCTTAACGTTTCTCAGAAAAGGCCTGCTGATGTACTTCTGACAAACCCTGTGGAGCAAACATACACACGTACACACACGTGTACACACTAACACATGGACAGAATGACACATATGGGGGCACCATGAGTTTGAGTCAACTCTACAATGCTGACTTCCTTTTGACGTCTCTGACCAGGTACTGTGGCCTCCCTTTAATCCCTGTTGTAAAACAGGATGGGGTAGCATGTACCACCCTCTAACACCTCTTTAAAGACCAGGTTCTCACTCTTACCAACTTGCTGGAGGTCTTTGATCCGCTTTTCAGATGGGCCCATTTTAGTGGGAGACTGTGATTTATCTCAAAGACATCAAAGGAAACAAATACTTCTTTTGAAAATCACTTTGTACCAGTGGCAAACTTTACTGTTCGCCACTTGACTATGTGTTGCAGATCCTGCATTTCCCCCGCCCCCACAAATTGAAGGTTTGCGACTACCCTGAATCAAGCAAGCCTATATTGGCGCCGTTTTCCCAAACAGCACAGGCTCACTGCATGTGTGTGTGTGTGCCACATTCTGATATTTTACGCAAGATTTCAAACATGTTAATGCTGTTGCACATAATAGACTATGGTAGA